CCTTCCTTCCTTCCTTCCTTCCTTCCTTCCTTCCTTCCTTCCTTCCTCTTTCCTTCTTCCTTCCTTTTCTTTTTCCTTCCCTCCATTCTCCTTTCTTCTTCCTTCCCCTCATTCCTTATTTCTCCTTCCTTCCTCCCTTCCCATCTTTTCTTCTTTTTCTTTTCTCTTTCCCTTTCCTGTCCCTTCTTGCATGCTCAAATACAAAAGGAGGAACATTTCTCCTTTTGTTTTGTTTGTAGTTTGTTTTGTAGTTTGAGGGCTGCTCTCCCGAACTCCATTTTTGCTGGCAGAGGCACCACAGCCCGGTCCTTTGCTGTTTCCAGGGTACCCCCACGGGCCAGATCTAAGCACCTCGCGGGCCGGATCTGGCCTGCGGGCCCTGAGTTTGACACCCCTGCTCTATCCTTAGGCTCAGGAAACGAGTTACTACACTTATTTCCAGCGTACTCTGAGCCATCTTTGTCTAATAGGGGTTAGATATTCTAAGGGCCTAAAGATTGCTAAAAGGTTAATGATTTGGAATCAGATCTCATTGGCTGGCTGCAGATGAGCTACTCATTATTTGATCTGTCCAGTTTCTGAACTTATGTACACACGTCTAGGGATACCTAACCTCAGAGCTGCAATTGAAGTTACAAATAGGCTGCCAAGGAAATCCTGTTGCTTATAAGCTGGTCCTTGCTATTTTATTTATTATATTTGTATGTCATTGAATCAAAAGACTGGGGTTATTTATTTTTTTGAGGTAATGTAAGGAAGGTCCGATGTTCTCTGTATAGAAGCTGACATTGTTTTTTTCCCCCCTAACTATATCTAGGGAATATGAGAGAGACTATGCCAACGACAGCTGGATCCCCATTGCAGAATGCACAGATGTTAGCGTTACTCAGTGTGATATCACAGAAGACATATCAGCTACCGTGCCATATAATCTGCGTGTTAGAGCATCTACAGGGACACAGGCCTCTCTCTGGGCCACACTCAACGGCTTCTTCAATCGTGTCACAAGTAAGTCCTTCAGTCTGCGTCCCCGTTAGAAAACCTCACAACCCACAGCACCTGCCTGAATGAGCCCAGTCTTGAACCGTGTTTTGTTGATATCAGGCCTAACAACTATTTAAAGCAGCTGCATTGGGTGGGGCAGGATTTGGTGACAGCTTTTCTGACTGGAAATGAGGCCTTGTACTGAGGTGGTGATTCAGCCTGCCTCAGTGGGAAGTAAGCTTTTTAAGCCACCATTCAACATTCGGATTCGGGAGAGTGCTTGGGAGCAATAAATCAGGAAAGTTAAGTCAGCATAAACAGAGTAAGGGCTCTATTTAAAGAAAAGGCAGCTGAAACAATGCATCTTAAGAGTCCATTTTCTCAATGGAAAGAGCAAAGGACTAATATTGACCATATGGGAAGGAATTCCACAAGCCTTGTGGGCCACAAGAGGTTGCTACATCCATTCAGCATAAAGTACCATTGCAGTTATCTTGTCTAGTTAGAACCAGAGCACAAGTAACAGGTTATTTATTACTACAGAAGGCACCTGGGGGCAAATACGACATTCAAACAACCCAGGAAACATTTCAAGTCCAAGCAAGATTGCTGGCTTTAATGATAGAACTCAGCTTCTTCCCCACTTTAGCCCTAAGGGTTTTCTAAACAAAAAAAAAATCAGGACTAGGTCAGGAGAAATAGAGAATACACAAAACATGCTTGTGTCAGGAATATAATTAGGGGATCTTGCTTTAAAAAAATTCAGCACGCTCTGATTAAATTGGGAGGTGTCCGCTGATGAAGGGCTGGGCTTACTCCTGATAAATTCTTGTCTTTGACTTCCTTCCTTCCTTCCTTCCTTCCTTCCTTCCTTCCTTCCTCCCTCCCTCCCTCCCTCCCTCCCTCCTTTTTTAAGACAGAGGATGATGTCTTTTTTTGGGGTCATACATCCTTTGTTTCCAGCACTCACCCGTACACATGTCCGTCCTCTTATCCAGTTGTCACAGCTGCAGCCCATGAAGAGGATCAAGGCCCTCTCCCCACCCCCCAGTAGACCATGTCTCTCCCTTATCCTCTCCTCCCTGCATGCCCTAGGATGGAGAGGGGATGGGCCTGGGTCCTCCTCTGACTGCCCAGCCGGCCTCTGCCCTTCCCCAGCCTCCTCCACAACCTCCGGAGCCACACCTCCACTGCCTGTCGGCTGTTCCTCCTCTCCCTCAGAGTCAGCCTCCGCCAGGGGCATGACACTCAGGTCCACGTGGTGGCAAATTCACACCTCCCTTGAAGGAAACAGTGGTGATGCAGCCCTTCCTCGAGAATCCATTCTTGGACCCAACAATTATGAGTGATTTTTCTCCCGTCTCCAACCTTCCTTTTTTCCACCTACTGAATATGTGAATCCACTTTCTTTCTTTTTTTTATAGCATCCCTCATTCCGCCAATGCTGACTGTCACCACTGATGGATATCACTTGCTAGCAGAATTAGAACACCTGGGGCCTGCCTTTGAATTCTGGATATTTTACTGGAAGAAGGGCCCAGAATCTACAGTAAGTTCTGATCTTGCTTCTGATTTGGATGAGTTGAAAGGCAGGAACATTTCTTTACTGGCCAAGGTTGAGTCATCAAGCCATCCTGAGCTTTTTACTGAAACTCTGAATGCTGCTAGGAGCATAGCCCCGCCGTGACTCATCTGCTTTGCTTTGAGATTTCTTGTCATATACTGTTGCCTGTAGAAGCAAAGGATCATTTTGGTTCCTGCATGTGGCGATTCAGCTGCCTTGTTTGGAAATACGAGCGTGTTCACCTATTGCCAGCCTTCTCAGGTAGACCAGGCAGGAAAAACAACCAGTTGAAGTAATTCAATTTCATTGTAAGGCTACAGTGAACAGAAGCTTGAAAGTTCGAATTTCTCACCGTCTCCTTTACAGAAGTGGGGGTGAAGGAAATCCCTTTTGAGTTTCTTTCTCTGCCCATAATATGGTAGGTAGTCCTCAACTTATGACAGGTCATTTAGGGACTGCTTAAACTTGCAACAGGACTGAAAAAAATGACCGTTTTTCACGTGTATGACCGTTTCAGCATTCCCATGGTCATGTGATCGAAATTCAGATGCTTGGCAATTGGTTTATATTTATGATACATATTATGATGGTTGCAGTGTCCTGGGATCATGTGATCATCTTTTGCGACTTTCTGACAAGCAAAGTCAATGAGGAAAGCCAGGTTCACTTAACAGTCATGTTACTGATTTAACAAGTGCAATGATTCATTTAACAAATGTGGTAAGAAATGTTGTAAAATGGGGCAAAACTCACTTAACAAACATCTCAGCAACATAAATGTTGAACTCAATTGCAGTCATAAGTCAAGGACTACTGCCTCCATGCAACTGCAGGTTATGTCCTCTCTTATTTGACCATTCCCTAGACTGGATCTCACTCCTGATCCTCGTCTCCCAAGGTTATTCTCCCATATCATTACGCCTATCTGCAACCATTATCAAAACTTGCTTTTGAATCCCACTGCCATTATAGAGCCGTGGTGGCGCAGTGGTGGGAATGCAGTATTGCAGGCTAAATCTGCTGACTGTCGGCAGTTTGATCCTTACCAGTTCAAGGTTGATTCAGCCTTCCATCCTTCTGAGGTTGGTAAAAATGAGGACCCAGTTTATTGGGGGCAATATGGTGACTCTGTAAACTGTTTAGACCGGGCTGTAAAAACACTATGAAACAGTATACAAGTCTAAGTGCTCTTGCTATTATTTTTTTCTCATTTATTGTATGTGGGAATAAAAATAATAATAAGCAAACCCACATTGACAGTCAACCATGGTTTTCCCAGTTGGAACATATGGCTCTGAAAGCTCGATCATCAAAAAGGCTGAAGAAAAATGTACACCTTTGAATTTGGGACTGAAGAAAATTGTTACGAGTATCTTAGAATTGTGAGAAGAACGAATAATTAAACATCAGATAAAGTGAAACCATGCAGCTCCTGGAAAGCATTAAGAAGGAAATTGACTATAAAATATTTGGGATGTAAGATGCAAAGGCAAGAATCATTAGAGAAGAGTTTGATGTTTGGAAAAAATCAAAGGCAATAACAAAAAGACAATAGAAAACTGGATAACAGCACCGATGACACAAGTAGGAGATTAGAGAAACTCTGAGAAGCAGGCACAGATAAACCATCCTGGCAAACTGACATCCTTCAGGTCACAAAGAGTTAGAAACCACTGAACCATTAAAGAAAAACAAAAATGCATAAATACAAGTACACTACTTGTATATAATAGGAGTTGTTATGAGTTGAAATGCAAGAAAAGGCTTTTTTACTGTACTCACTGAGCCCAAAGTCACCTGGCTGCCTGGTCAAAAAAGCCTCTCATGCATAGTTTTCTTCTCATTGGGGCCAGGTGACCATGGTGGGATTCAAATTTTTTTACTACTGGTTCGGTGGGCATGGCATGGCCTGGTGGGTGTGGCAGGGGAAGAATACTGCAAAATCCCCATTCCCTCTCCACCCCACTAACCTGATTTCCAGCTCCGTTCTCCTGTGCAGGGCAACCAAAGAAGAGCCAGCCAATCAGCTGGGACTCGGGAGGCAGAGAATAGATGGGACGGGGCCAGTCAGAGCTGGTATTTGCTGGTTCTCCAAACTACTCAAAATTTCCGCTATCGGTTCTCCAGAACTGGTCAGAACCTGATGAATTACCACCTCTGCAGATGACCATATTTGCCATGAAGTTGTCAGGAGAGAGTCCAGTTATGCTTTTAATGTCTCACAATGCCCCAAAGAATCCGAGGTCTAGAGAATTTTAAGAGATTTGGAGAGAAACTAGAACCAGCTACTTGGTGCTGCTTGTAATGTTGGATCAGAAAAGAAATGGTTTGATGGGCGGGAGGGCCGATCAAAATTAGAGGCAGGGGTACTTACCAAACACCCAAGTTGTGGACTAATTTAGGAAACCCAGTTGGATCCCTTCTTCATTGGTATTTTAGTGTGGTGCTAAAACATTCTTTGATAGGCCGCATTTTTGGTGCACGCTTTAGGCTTGTTCTTATTGTGTTTTTCTCTGTCGCTCCTTTGTGAGGCTTGGGTTTTCCTCTTCACCCGTTCTTTCTTTTAACTGTTTTACTGATTGCAAATTGCAAATCAATAAAGCAGTATATTGCAGTACGGAATGATTTAACTTCCCGGAGCTGCTTAAATGGCTGTCAGACCCAAGAGACATGTAGCAGTTGGATAACCTGAATTTGCCTACAAACACTCCTGTGTGTACTTTCCTCACTTTTTGTTACTGTTCTAAATTTCGACATTGAATCTCATACTCAAAATACAAACAGTCCTTGACTTACGATCACAACTGAGCCCAAAATTTCTGTGGCTAAGTAAGACAGTTGTTAAGTGAGTCTTGCCTCGTTTTAGACCTTTCTAGCCACCACTGTTAAGCGAATCACTGCAGTTGCTAAGTCAGTAATATAGTTGTTAAGTGATTCTGGCTTCCCCGTTGACTTTTCTAGACAAAAGGTTGCAAAAAGTTATCACAAGACTCTGGGACACTGCAACCACCCCAAATATAAGCCAGTTGCCAAGCATCCTAATTCTGATCACGTGACCATGGGGATGCTGCAGCGGTCATAAGTGTGGAAAACTTACGATCAGAAATCACTTTAATCAATGCCGTTGTAAGTTGGAACAGTCACTGAATGCATGGTTGAATTTGAGGGCCACTTGTGTATAACCACATTTCAACGTGTAAAACCCCAAAATTCATAACCGTTTGCTTTTCCTTTAGATTTTGGAGGCATCCTGCAAATGAACAGTGCAATTTTTTTTCTTGTTTAGCCACAGGGGTCCGGGGAAGGGTAAGCCAATCTAGTGAAGCAGATTATTTCACCTAACGTGGAAATTCAGCCTTGTATTTGTTTTTCATTCCGTGTTTTACACACCTAGGTTTACCACAAAGTGGTGAGAGAAAGCACCACCACTGTGCATCTGAAAACCATGGAGGCTGGAGCTGAATATTGTGTTAAAGCTCAGACCTTTGTGGAAGCGATCAACAGGAGCAGCAATTTCAGCGAGGTGCAGTGCGTGAAATCAGAAGGTGAGAACAAGGGGGATAAAAGGCAGGGGTGGGATTCAAATTTTTAACAACCGGTTCTATGGGCGCGGCTTAGGTGGTGAGCGTGGCTTGGTGGTCATGTGACTGGGTGGACATGGCTTGGTGGTCATGTTATTGGCTGGGTGTGGCCAACTCAATATCACTCACATCAAGGCACACATCTCCTCGCCTGGCCTCATGACTGTGGGGATGCTGCAACAGTCGTAAGTGTGAAAAATGATAATGTCACTTTTTTCAGTGCCATTGTAACTTTGAATGGTCACTCCACACAAGCAAAGTACCAGCAAATGAGGGGAAAATAACTCCAGAGAAGTTCCTGAGACAGGAAGTCTAGTCCTGCCAAGAATGTAATAAGGGTTAACGGAGAGGCAGTTTCTGTAAGCAACACCAGAATGTTTCCTTCCTGCCTTCCTTACAGGATTAGGCCAGTAATTTCTTCTAACAACCGGTTCTCCGAACTGCTTAGTATGTTAACAACCGGTTCTAGAGAATAGGTGCGAACCTGTAAAATCCCACCCCTGATAAAAGGGGCTTACAGATTTTGCGAAGCTGGACGGACTCTCCAGAGCAGGGTTTCTCAATCTTGGCAACTTTAAGATGTCTGCTAGGGAATTCTGGGAGTTGAAATCCACACTTCTTAACGTTGCCAAGATTAAGAACGCTGCTCCAGAAGGAGCAAAGCCAAAAGATCTAAACTATTGAGGGAGGACTGGAAGGGAGGGGGATTTAAAGGATAAAATTAAAATTAAAGCCTCATAAGGCCTTAAAGAGTCCATGGCACCCCATAAAGCCCCATCTTGCTCCCCAAGTTGTGCCCTCTTTCCCCGTTTTGAGGGATCTATGAGGCAAAATGTGACTACCTCTCTTAATTACCTCCAAATAACTTTCTCAAGGGAAAAAAGACAAAACATGTTGCAGCCACCCTTTCAAACATGGTTGCTCATCAGCTACCTGGTCCCCCTGAGAAGGCACAAAAACAAATGGAAGACCCTTAGGCCAGGTGTTTCAAATTAGTGGCCTACGGGCCAGATGTGTCACATGCAGGCCACGCCCACCCCAGCTCTGCGGAGGGGAAGAAGGTCGCGAAACATCACATGACGGCAACATGATGCCGTGGGTTTGACCCCCATACCCTAGGCTGTCTATTTGCTTACGCATGGTTTAACCATGGTTTACTGAACTACATGTGGTTTATAAGACAATATCCATTATGGTTTGCAAAACATAATGGTTGGGTTTTCATAGCCAGTTATAAAAGGGAAAGGGGTTATAGGGTCTTTCAAATCTATATATATAAAAGTGAAAAAGCACTCATGCGTCATCACAAAATCTCCAGAACTGTAAAGTCTGCAAACTTGAAATTTGGCATGTATGTTCCTCTTGGCTTCTAGGTGCTCACTAAGAAAGGATTTTTTGAAATGTCCATCAGAGCATTAGTATTTCGTATATTGTTATTAACACGCTCTGATGCTAAGGAGTTCTATTCCCCCTCCCCACCTGAAAAGAAATCTGTTCCAAATGCAAAACACAAGCAGAGGAGTTTTAGTTTCAGTTTCAGAGCACCAAGCAGCTTTAGTACAGAACAGTTGAGCTAAGCTACACCCAGGCTCCTTGCTGTCTCCTTGCTCACACAGCAAATGCTGTTTCAATTTCCATGTTTCAGTTTCCAAACAGCCCTCAACTCTCTCACACACTGACAGGATGAGTACCGGTGGATGCTGGCAGGCAGAGGCACAATTCCCTCCCCGCTTTATTTTCGTCGCCAAAACCTAAGCCCGACCACATAGTTTCATAGCGAAGCACGGGTATCGAGCTAGCTAAAGGATAAGGATCATAGACGTGAAAATGGCCTTCATGATTATCTTGTCCTACTTTTTCAAGTTTGGATATTCACAAGAGAGCATCTCAACAAACAGTTGTCCCTCTTTGCCTGAAGAAGACCTCTATAATAACCCTGCTAATCCAGTAACTGATTTTGTTATTTCTTGTGTGACTTAAAATTTTCCCTCTGAGGCTCTCCAGGCTATTTCTCAGTGAATAGAAATTCCTTACTGGATAACTTGATCTGGGAAAGGTTTGCTACTAATACATGTCCAAGAGATATCTGCAGAAGGAACTTGCTCAGGTGAAAAGCAATTTGGAGAATGCTTAAAAGCTATCGAGAACAGTGATTGCAGAATGCACCTATTCCATTTATTTATATTAAATTGTTATGCTGCCCACCTGTGTTTCTGAAAATTGTCAATGCAAAGCCTTCACTGAGATATTTGTGTTTTTTTTTTCTGCCTCCAGATGCCAAAGTCATACTGTTGACCTTTGCCCCGCTCTTCCTGGTTATTTTTTTTGTGGCTGTTTTGGTCCTTCCTTTTCTTGCTTGGAAAACCTGTCGGATCTGCCAGTATTCCTTCTGCCCAGATGAGGTCCTTCCAGATACTTTGGTAAGAAGCTCTGCGCGGTGTTTCATTTGTGCTTCTGAACTCATCCACCTGGAGTCCATGCACCTTGCCGTTATTCTTGAAGGACACGTCTTCAAGACTCGGCTTTCCTTCTGCTTCCCAGCAAAAAGTAGGGACGGTTCCACTTCGTATTTCTCCCATTCAGTGTTGAAATGTTAGTCATCCATGTCCCAACACAAACCTTGCTACACTGCATGCACGATCAGCAGCAGTTTAGCAGCAACCGGTTGATGGAATGTGACCCGTTCCTATTTCTTGCTTTTGGCTTCTGTGATTTGGATACACCCTCCCTCCCCCACCCTCTCTGTCTTCCCCCTCTCTCTTCTAATCCCATTTGGCACCTTCTCTCAATATCCATTTTATCTTGAGCGGCAGGTATGATCGGGAACCAATGTCGGAAGAGGTAATCTATGAATCATTCATGGGTTGAGTGGGAACAGCATTGCTCCATCTGTGTAGTGAGTGGGGGTTTTTCCCAGGAAAGCAGGAAAAACCCCACCCCCATCAATTAAGTTCTGAGCCCCGCCTCACCCCTCATTAGGAAGAGCAATGAGTGAGATCTTCTCTGCAAGCAGGGATTCCACCAATTATTTCCATCAACTTATCTCCACATTAAAATTGTCAGGATGGCATTAGATTACTGCCTTCGTAAGTAGGTGTAATAGAAATCAGCTGGCAAGAAAGGGCAAATTATGTCATCTCCCAGACTGAAAGAAGAGTTGTTAAACCGGCTATCTGGATGTGTACTTAATCTATAGATATAAAAACGAAATACCACTCACGGATCATCACAAAATCTCCACAACCGTAAAGCCTACAAACTTTAAATTTGGCACTTACATTCCCCTCGACTTCTAGGTGCTCACTAAGAAAGGTTTTTTCGAAATGACCATCAGAGCTTTAGTATTTCATATATTATTATTAACATGCTCTGATGCTAAGGAGTTCAGCTACCCCTCCCCACCTGAAAAGACATCTCTTCCAAATGCAAAACACAAGCAGAGGAGTTTCAGTTTCAGTTTCAGAGCAGCAAACAGCTTTAGTTACAGAACAATTGAGCTACTGTAAGCCACGTCCAGGCTCCTTGCTCACACAGCAAATACTGTTTCAGTTTCCAAGCAGCCCTCAACTCTCACACACTGACAGGACACTAGCCAGATGAATACTGATAGATGCTGGTAGGCAGAGGCAGAATTTTTTCCCCTTATTTTCCTCCCCACAAACTAAGTCCAACCACATAGTTTCATAACGAAGCATGGGTACCCAGCTAGTAGTGTTATACTGAAGAAGGTGTACTTTTATAAGTGTAGGTTCTTCGGTGTAGTAGTAGGTTCTTCAGTGTAGTAGGAGTTGGAGGAATCCTTGGTGCTCTCTGAGCTTGGTTGTTTTCTTGCAAACATTTCATTACCCAAACTAATTACCTAATTTGAGTGATGAAATGTCTGCAAGAAAACAACCAAGTTTTTATTAGCATTCATAGTCCACTGTTTTTCTACGAAGGTTTTGTATTTTCCTGAGAATGTATCTGAACTTCCATTTAACAGGCACTCAAACTTCTATCAATCCAGTCCAGGATGTTGCTGATCAGAGATTTTACCTTCTGAAAGGATTCCCAAGATAGTTAGGTATTGAGGGATCTTTAGGATCTCTTTGGATCAATTTGCAACCTGGTTTGGTCAACAAAGGATTTAGATTGGTGTAAGCTGGGTGGGTACATTAACAGAGCATTTGATGCTAGGCATCAGAAGATAAGTTACAGAAATTTAGAATGCAAAATATGCAAAATAACAAAAGACACTTGGGACAGACAGAGCATGTATAGTTTTATATTTATTTAGTTTTGCCCAAGTTGGCTTTCTCCAAATCCTTTGGACAAAGATTTACAGAATTCTCAGCTTCTGAGCTAAGAATTCTGGAAAACATAATGTGATATATCTTAAGGACAACATTTTGGGAAAAGTGTGCTAGTGCAGGCTGTTGATGCTCAGAGGTTGCATTGTATTTATATCAGAATGTTAGGACATCGTCTTCTCTGTGGGTGAATTGATTTCTGCAGTAGAAAGGATATTTCTAGGTATTCTGCTCCACTTAGCTTACCTTTTCTCTTCTAGAAGCTAACAGCATCACCTGCTAAGATACTAAAGGAGAGGGGAGAAGAGATGGAGAAATGTGATGAATCAGTGCAAGTATTGCCTTCCGAAGACATTTTGCTTCATTTTTGGATCCATGAAACTCTTTAATATCACCCTGAAGACACTAATTGCAAACTGAGATTAACAGTCTTGCTCTCCTTCTTGACCCCTCTTCAGGCACACACAAGGTTTCTACAGAGAAGGACAAATTGCACAAAGATGGGAACCAAAATATATATCGGTATCAGGGAGAGATTCCAGCAACCTTACTTGACAGAGAAGTGTAGACTGGTTGTGGGTTGCAAACAGACCATCTTTACAGCCACTTACTGAATTACTGTCTATTTAATTGAGATGTAAGGATCTTGAGCCAATCCAATATTGGAATAATATTGGAAAGAGGTACAAGTCCAAGTCAGTTTTCCAATTCATGCTTGCAAGCCAGGAGGAATAGAGGAAAATACCGGGAGGTATTCTGTCTTAATAGTACAGTATACTCTCTAAGAAAGCAAGTTGCATGAAATGGATCTTTTTTCAGATTATTTATTACAATTCTTGTGGGCTTTAGCCACAGGCTCTCAAGTATTCAGAAAGCAATGGAGCTCTAAATGCCACTATCTTTCCACTGTTATAGAAAGGCAATCAGTGAGAGCCCGACACTCAGAAATTTGGGTTGAGATTTAGTGGATCATTCAATCAATTGTTCAAAGAAAGGATAAATCAATCATTCCTAGGCATTATGACCTATTCTGACCATTCATTGTGGTATAATTCCACATAGGACTGCTAATCAGCTCATCTAGATAAGGTTCTGATTTTTATGTGAGTTTTAGAATCAAATACAGAACTCGTTAACTCATAGCTGGCTTGCTGGCTGTATTTTGGAGTATTTTTTTTTCTTTTTGAGGTTCCTAGATAGGTATATATTTCCAACTGCCAAATCTGAGCAAAACATGGCTGTTTTCCACAAACTGGAATACTTACTGCAGAACTGGAATTCAATGTTTGGAAGCTTTCTATTCCTGGATGAGATTTTAAATGAAAAAACCTTTTTCTTTGCTTGTGTTTTTTTAACATGCAAGCACTGAAATGCTTAAATGTGTATTTAAAATACTGAGTTGAGCTTTTACTTACTTTATGGCTGTACATGTGAATTTTAAGTTCAGTTCACAGACTTGGAGGTTTAAGATGGGTGTAAACCTTTGTATATTTCTTATATCAGCCATACAACAACCAGATATCTTGTTGTGTATCTGTGTTTACAGCCTGGTCACTCCTAAGATTTGCTATGGCTGAAAGCAAATGTATGGGAAGACATCAGATAATGCAAAATTATGACTATGGGGCTGGAAGGGGAACCAAGCTCTGGCAAATTCACATAAGTTGAGTGGCTTGATTCACATTTCACACTAAGCCATAATGTGATTTGTTTAGTTTTCAGTTGAATGCATTGTGAAAATCCAGGTGTTGTGAATTATAGGTAGCTTATGCCTTGGCATGAGGTGAATTTATGCATAATATTCAACAACTCTAGCAAAACAAGATTATATAGTGATATCTAAGATCCTGTTAGACTTGCTAAATGTTTCTCTTATGTGTCTGCCTGTACCTTTAACAAGTGCACAAAAGGCAGAATCTTAACCAGCCCAGCATTTCGTGCCACTGATTCTGCAGGCAGGAAAAAACTGCACCAGGAAAATCTTGGTCTGTCATGCAGCTATTAAACAACAGTCTTCATGTATTTTTTAAAAGAAGGGGAACCTGTTAAAATAGTTTCAAGGAAGGGGGAAAGTTAGAAATTTTACCTGATCTTCCCTCCCCCATCAATCAGATTTTTCTTTCAACCTTACGGCAGTATGTCTGTCATTAAGAAAATGAAAATGTTAGAATTGCTATGAACATTGCTGCCTGGTTCAATAGCAATGGTTTGCAATAATAGAACAGAATCAGAATATATGATTTATGATTCATGATTTGAAAGTTAGACCTGATTTAAATATATACAAAATAATCCATAAGTAAGCATTTATTTACAATGGCAACTTGTAGTAATGGTAACATAAATTTGACTGAATTGTGCCTTCTTTATGCTGTAATTCATTATAATTCAGTATATAAGTATAATTCAGGCAAAAAAAATACATATAGTCCTCAGCTTATAACCAGTTGGAATTTCTGTCACTAAACAAGGCAGTAGTTAAGCAAGCTGCATTCAAGTTTGCCTTTTTTGATGCAGTCATTAATGGGAAAATTTGACTTTCCCCATTGACGTTGCTTGTTGGAAGTGGCTAGGAAGGTCATAAATGGCAATAATTGTTCCAGGATGCTACAGTTATCATAAATACATCAATACAAATGCCCAAATTTTGATCATGTAACCACAGGGATGGTGCAATGGTTATAAGTGTGCAGACTTTTTAGTGCTGCTGTAGCTTCAAATGGTAATTAAACAAATGGTCATAAGTTGAGGACTACTTATATAATGTTGGCTTTAATTCCATTATCAGGAAGATTCTTGCTGAATTAAATAAAATGCATTAAGAACATATACAAAAACTGAAGTGGCATTGTCACACCTTTACATGTCTGAAATCAAATAAGCTTCAATATCTCAATACTTTTCTGTTAAATGCTTCAACTGCTAATAATCAAAAATACTTTCTGGAAAATCTTTGATTCAGTAGTTAAAATTCTTCCTAATATTTTTTTTCCTTCCTGATGTGAACAAAAATAATTCCATGAAGCTCACTAAGGTGAATCTCTAATTATGTTACATGTGTAGACCTCAAACATGTACAATTCACATCCAAAACTGCAGAAATACAGGTATATTCAAAGGAGAGCTAGAGGCAGGAATGAAGCTACATGTGTTTATTCAGTAATGAAGCAAAGGCATTTTGCTCAGAGATAAAATGTTTCAGACATAATATTGAATTGATAGTCTCTTCATCTTTTATCCCATTATAAATATTAAAGATTATTTCTAGGTAACCATGCAAATATTTTGTAGCCTAGAATTACCTTTTTAAGAACAATAAATATTGTATTAAACTTGCTGGTACATACTTCTAAGTAAATACCCAGATTACATGTAGGACATTTTTATTTGCAAAAAGTGTTTCTGGCTGAATTGAGATACCAGAAGCACTCTGTACAGCTCCCTTTAAAGCAAAAGATTATTGCAAACTGCATTTGACAATCTCCATTCATTCCGTGCTACGGAAAGAAGCATCCATCTCTAAAAGCAAAGCCTGCGCTAACATAGAGAACTATTTTCTTTTTGCTTCGGAACATCTCCCCCCCCACCCCAAAAAAATCTTACACAAATTCTTGATTTCAAGATCCGAAACGGTCGACCAAAATTTTACGGAATCAGGTGACAATCCTAATGGTGACCTCACGTGCCTGGAAAAGGCCATAAATTATATTTTCTTTTGGTCCTCTCTGCATTTCAACTGACAGGAGAAGGATAAATTTTCCTAGCCAGCACTGGGTTTCATGCGCCAGGACTTAAAAAGGTCGCCATTTGCTATTCCTCCTCCCGCAATAAAACGCCTTTAGCGGCATCTCAAGTAGATCCACGAGGATCAGTAAATCCTCTCCTAATCCAGCCTCCGCTGAGGTGGGGCTGGGGGTGGGGGGACAAGGAAAAAAAACAACCGTTTCGAACGTGAAAGGAAACGAAGCGATGGAAACCGGGAGCGGTCCCCCTCCCCCACAAAAAAGGCAAAAAAAAAATTCACTGCAGCAAACTGCATTCCCCAGAAAGCCCGGGGGCGCGCTCGCGCATGCGCGCCGATCCTCGCGTAGTTCCTGTGCGACCCGCGGCCTGTGACGTCTGAAGAACTGCGCGCTTGCGTTTCCCGTCCTGGAATTTTAGGCGCGTGGGGAAGGAGGTGGCGGGCGTGCTCTCTCTCTCTCTCTCCAAACATGCGGCCCGGTAAGGCGCGTGTGAGGAAACCCCTTCGGCGCGGTCGAACTGATTTCCGGCGGTCGTGTGGCGACTAACGCGGCCCAGCTGGTGGGGTGGGGTGGGGGAACGGACGGAGGGATTCGGGCAGAGGGTTGCTGTGACCATTTGTGACTGGGATTCTCTGCCTGCTGCAGGTTTTAGCCCTCGCGGAGGTCGTGGGGACCGTGGAGGACGAGGAGGCTTCCGAGGAGGACGAGGTTTGTTAACTCTTATGAGTTTCTTCTCTTTTTTCTCTCTCCGCATCTCAATATGGGCTTGGAATATTGAGATTTGCTATTCCACCGGCCCCTAGGTCTCGGTTGAGGGGGCGGGGTAGAGGTATGGTCAGACTTAACGAGGTTCTGTTAATGGAAGTTTCCAGTAGAAACACCTAAAATTCTGGTTGTGCTTCTTGTGTGGACTACTTCGCAAACCCAACGTCATTCTTGTAAGTCTGAAAATACCCCCCTCGTTTTACTCTTCTGAAAAGTAGGAGAAGGTCTTTTCTGGGATGCTTTCGCCATTATTCCTCTTTCGGGCTCAAGTTTGGTCCGTCAGACCAATATCTGGGCTGCAGATCTCTCCTGCCTCCCAAAGCCATTCCCACATAACCATTAGAGTAGGGGAGACCAAAGGTACTTGTAGATTTTATTTATTTCTCAAAAGTATATACCCCCCACAACTTACTAACATGACTCCTAGTGGCATACAATAAAACAAACAAACTAATCTAAAACAACCCTCAGAACAGTTAATACGGTATATAAATAAGATCACAGAATCTGCTGAAATCTCACATTTAGTGCCACCACTTTGTGGATTCCTCATTACCATTTTGGTGAGCCGAAGTCAAAATCATTGTTTACCTGAAAGTTATGCTTAGTTGCATTTTCTGTTAATAGTTTGGTTAATATGCAGCTGGTGTACATCTGATGTGTCAACTTTTCCCCCTGAGATTACATGTTGGGCCTTGCTAGTGTGGTATCTGAACCACAACCATGAAAAGATGTTATGATGCCATTACCACATCAACAACTATAATTATGGTAGAAATTTCTGTAACTTAGAGCATGTTTTGTCTGCTCTATATGTTGGGATCTAATGTAGGTTTCTAAACTGTTGTCAGCAGTAATGGAGCAATTTGCTAAAGAAGGAATATGTTATATAATGACATTGATTACTAGATTATCTTTTTAATCTTGATTATCTGTTGCAAATAGTTGTAACAATAGTTGTATACAGATAGTCCTTGCTTAACAATTGTAGTTGGGACCAGCAACTCCATTGCTAAGCAATACAGTTACGTGAAACATTGCACAACTAAAACTTGAGATTTTACTGCCAGTTTCTCCGCTGATTCTGCTTGTCAGAAGACAGCTGTGAAACGTACAAATGATGGTTATATGACAATAGGACACTGCAAAGGGCATAAGTGCAAAGACCAGTTTGTAAAGTTATATTTTCAGCACCATTGTAACTTCAAATAATTGCTAAACAGGACATTCATTAAGTGAGGACTACCTGTATGCTTTTTCTTTTACTTATTCTGTTGCTTGTCAAAATGAATATAGGTTAAATTTGCTTTAAAGATATTAATAGAAAAGACTGTTCTTGGTGCTCTCTGAACTTCTTTGCTTGCTTCCAGATTAGTTTGCTTCTAATGTTACTTGGTTGGCTAATGAAACATCTGCAAGAAAACAGCAAAACTTAAAGATATTTCTCTGAAAGTGTGGTTTTTTTTAAAAAAAAATCTGTGGTCCTGCAGGCCCAGTTTCAAATCTGTATTTGTCAGTGGAACAAATAAAGGTCCAAACCTAGTACAGTAGAACCTCTGGTCATGACCATAATTTGTTCAGAAGGCGATTTCTTTGTCTTCTGTTTCATCTTCAGGAATTTCTGGGTCAGGGGTCGTGTTAGATCACCACCTGAGTATGTGTTCGTGACCAGATTTGTGAATTTTTTGGCCAGAACCTGATTTGGTCATAGTCAGAAGCATTCATGACCAGAGGTTCTACTATATAACTTATTGGGTTATATTAGGTTTGAATCTTTTCTGTTCTCATGGATTTGTTTTCCAAGAGAAGTGATAAGACATTGCCGGTCATGTAATCTTGATTTTTTTTAGGAGAAAAGCTAGGTTGGAAGTCCTTTTCACAGAGCTTGTGTTTCGAAGGGAACAAATCGGGCATAAGCGTTGAGTTAATATCATCAGTCTCAAACGTTGTCTGTACAGGTTTTATCTTGAGGTCAATTTTTGGAATGTCATGTAATACTGACCAGGTGCTGTCTATGCCACCTGTTTCCCCCATTGTTCATAGGAGGTGGATTTAAATCTCCGGGAGGTTTCCGAGGAGGTGGTGGAGGTTTCCGAGGTGGAAGAGGAGGTGGCGGTGGCGGCTTCCGAGGTGGAAGAGGAGGTGGTGGAAGAGGAGGTGGTGGACGAGGTGGACGGGGTGGCTTCAAAGGAGGCAAAAGGGTGACTATAGAACCCCATAGGCATGAAGGTAAGACTTGCCCAATGTGTCATATATTGGCTCAAATGTAACAATATTTTATTTTTTTAGCTTTCTCTGCTAAGAAGTTGATGGAGGAATAATGCCATCAGTCTAGAAAAGGCATAGGCAGCCTGAAGCTTGACACAGAATGCAATCCCGGAAGCTCTTTTTTTTTCAGCCCCAATAGCTGTTGAAAACAAACTCATCTGTAATTTTCATAATGTTGGCTTATATCCTTGATGCTTCTTGATTATAGAGTATTGCAATGTGGTTTCATGGGACTTCACCTTTGCAGATCATCAGGAGGGAAAAAAAGGATTGGTGCAAAAAAAAGATTGGTGCTAATAGATATTAGCAGCCAAGGCACATTACATTATTACCTGAGCTTTACATTAGTTACCAATAGGTTTCTGTGGACAATTTGAAGTTTGGTTTTGACCTAAACCCCCTGTGACTTAGAATCTATCTGCAGGACTATTGAATTTGCCCTTCCAGTATGATTTTCCTGAAAGATGGTTAATGTTAAACTTTACTTTCTCAAAATAAGGGAAATGATAGCCAGAAGGTACTACTGCTCAGTAGCATCTGCAGCCTTCCAAAATAGTTGATTAAAATATATTTTAGTCAGATTGGCATTATAGCTTATGTAATACACTTCCCTTAGAGCACCTCCATTCTTTCTAACAGAGTGGGAGTTATATATGATGGGACTCTGCTGAAAAACATGTATAGTTTATCTTTCTTTGAATGCATTTATAGTGATCAAATGGTTTACTATTTCATTTTAATACTTGGTTTTGTTAATAATTTTGATTACTTCTCATTATTATTGTATTTATTGCAAACTTGATAAGTAAAGTTATTTTTAATTTGATTGGCACTTATTGTGGACATTTTAACCATTTATGGATGTTTTCTATTGACTATTTTGTAAACCACCGCAGGTCTGTATTGATTTGGCAGTATACAAGTAGGAAAAAACCTAAATAAATCGTAAACTAGACTTAATAGTGTTTTTAAAAGAAAGAGAAATTTCCTTCCTCAAATCTAAGAATTATTCCCTTCAAAAATTCTGGCATCACCATTTTGCATCATAAACTTATTTCCTGTAAACTCTGACTGCCTCAAATAACATTACATGTGTCCTTAACTGTCAAAACATTGACTGAGTAATTTTCTCTTACTCTCCTTGAGGACATAGTAGCAATATTATCTCCAAAATATTCACATGTGTAATTTTAAAAATACTGTAAACCACTCTTTGAAGCCCTG